AGACAGGTGTAGGTGTGTACAGACAGGTGTGTTCAGACAGGTGTGTACAGACAGGTGTGTACAGACAGGTGTGTTCAGACAGGTGTGTACAGACAGGTGTGTACAGACAGGTGTGTTCAGACAGGTGTGTACAGGTGTGTTCAGACAGGTGTGTTCAGACAGGTGTGTTCAGGTGTGTTCAGACAGGTGTGTACAGACTGGTGTGTACAGACAGGTGTGTTCAGACAGGTGTGTACAGACAGGTGTGTTCAGACAGGTGTGTACAGACAGGTGTGTTCAGACAGGTGTGTTCAGACAGGTGTGTTCAGACAGGTGTGTTCAGACAGGTGTGTCCAGACAGGTGTGTACAGGTGTGTACAGACAGGTGTGTACAGACAGGTGTGTTCAGACAGGTGTGTACAGACAGGTGTGTACAGACAGGTGTGTACAGACAGGTGTGTACAGACAGGTGTGTTCAGACAGGTGTGTTTACCTGTGGAGCTTCCTGAGAGCAGTGAAGGAGAAGATGGTGAACATCAGCATCAAACACACTTTGATCAGCAGCTCTGAAACACACACTTCCTGTCACTCACACATCAACATGAAACAGGGTCATGGTTCTGTTGGTTCTGTTGGTTCTGTTGGTTCTGTTTACCTGCAGGAGTGAAGAGCAGAGGGAACAGGGAGTAGTGACCCGTGGTGCTCAGCAGCAGGAATATCCCAGCATCCTCTCTGTTCTCCACCGCCAGGATGCTGCAGGAAAACAGGTTTAATCAGACTGGTCCTCCTGCAGCCTGCTGGACCGGGTTGGACCGGGTCGGACCGGGACACACAGCCCACCTGAGCGGCAGGATGGCGAGGAGGATGGCCTTCTCGTGGACGTGCCATCCGAACATGAAGGAGCCCAGAGCACAGAGCAGCAGGCAGCGCAGGAAGCCCCGCCCACCTCGGGGACGCCACCAGATGGAGGCGGCCGCCGGCTTCAGACAGGAATTAAAAACAGACTTTACTCATAAACACTCAGGTTCAGAACCAGGAGGTCCAGCTGAGCTCTGAAGTGGACCGGTTCTGGTTCCGACTCACCAGGATGGACAGAAGTGTGCAGACGAGTGTGACGGAGGGAGAGATGGAGGGCAGGACCGAGTGCTGGAACTCCTGGACCAGACCGCCCGTCATGGAGGCTGCAGGAAGCTCCGCCTCCTGCAGCAGCTGCAGACTGACGCCTTTTCAAAATAAAAGCAGGGTTTTATTAAAGCTGTCAAAATAAGACTCACTTCCTGTTTGAATCTGATGTCAGAGGGGGCGGAGCCTCACCCAGGTGAGCCAGAACTTTATCCAGGATGTTGTACAGGGCCCAGATGTTGGGGGCCCAGTAGGCGTGGCACAGACCCCGTTTGAAGGGGAAGAGCCGGGTCAGAACCTGAGGCAGCTGGCCCTGAAACACATCAACAGAGGGACGAGTCGCAGGTTCTGGTTCTGGTTCTGGTTCTGGTCGGACAGAGGCAGGTGGGTCTCACCATGACAACAAACGGACCGAAGGACAGAGTGAAGACCGACGTGACGATGCTGCCCAGAACCAGGAGCCGGACCGGACTGAAACTCCTCCACCTGATGGAGCCGTCTGCACAGAACCACAGGTGGGTCAGAACCACAGGTGGGTCCAGTCAGAACCACAGGTGGGTCCAGTCAGAACCACAGGTGGGTCCAGTCAGAACCACAGGTGGGTCAGAACCACAGGTGGGTCAGAACCACAGGTGGGTCCAGTCAGAACCACAGGTGGGTCAGAACCACAGGTGGGTCAGAACCACAGGTGGGTCCAGTCAGAACCAGAGGTGGTACCGGTGTTGTCCTGGGTGAAGCAGTAGCTCCTCAGCAGGTAGACTCCGTACGCCGGCGCCACGTACAGGAAGATGTGCTTCAGGTTGAGCAGGACGGTGAACAGCAGCGCCCCCTGCAGGTGGCAGGACTGAACAGGAAACAGGAAGTGATGTAACGTCAACCAAACAGGAAGTGATGTAAAGGTGAGGTCCTGGTGTTCTAACCTGCAGGTGTTTGGCCACAGACAGCAGCAGGAAGCCAAACAGGAAGCCGTTGTACTGAAAATGAATGTCTGAGCAGGAAAATGTGAAGAAAAATCATTTCATCCAGGTGAGTCGGGTGGGCGGAGCCTAAGTGTCAGGTGAGTCAGGTGAGGCGTCTGATCAGACCTGTGATTACTGAAGGATCCTGAGGCACACAGGAAGTGTTCTGGTTCTGAATCAGAACCAAAGTCAGAACCTGGTCCAGAGCACAGGTGTGCTGACATCAGAGGCTGGGGGCGGAGCTACAGCGATGAATAACTAAAACTGCAGGTGCTGATTTTAAAAATACAAATAAAACCTGATTAAAGTTTGTTGGAGCCATGTTTGTTTTCTGTCAGAACCAGAACCAGAACAAGAACCAGGGTTCTGGTTCTGGTTCTAACCGGGTCACAGTGTTGCAGATGAGGATACGGTCCACGATGAACAGACCAAAGTTCCACAGCAGCAGCACGGCCAGGACGAAGGACGGGCGGGTCCAGATGTCCCGACAGCTCCTCTGCTCCTCAACACAYCTGCAACACCTGGAGAGGAACGGACCAATCAGGACCGGGTCAGAGGTTCTGGGACTGGACTCAGGACCTGGACTCACTGTCTGACAGCGTAGATAAAAACCAGGTCCGTGAAGACCACAGACAGTCTCTGGAACAGGACCGTGGACCGGCTGCAGTAGTTCAGGTTCTGCACCTGCAGCAGGTTCCTGTCGAAGTGCTGGGCCACCTGAGACAGGCTGAACTGGAACCAGGCGAACAGAGGSGGGTAGTCCAGAGTCCACTCAGACCGGTTCTGAAACACAGAGGCTCGGGTCAGGACCACAGGACACCTGACACACCTGAACCAGGAATTGAGGGTCCGACTCACCTCATGGTACCACCTGGACACGGGCAGGCTGTGTGTGATGGCCAACCAGTTCCTGTGGACCTCGAAGTCTGTGGAGTGACTGGAGACAGGTAAGACGCTGACTCAGCAGAACTGACAGAAACCCACCTGCTGGACCAGGTCTGGACTCTTACAGTCCAACCTGGACCAGGTCTGGACTCTTACAGTCCAAACCTGGACCACGTCTGGACTCTTACAGTCCAAACTGGACCAGGTCTGGACTCTTACAGTCCAAACTGGNTCTGGACTCTTACAGTCCAAACTGGACCAGGTCTGGACTCTTACAGTCCAAACTGGTCCAGGTCTGGACTCTTACAGTCCAAACTGGTCCAGGTCCGTCAGTATCAGAACAGAAAGTTATAAATTAATCATGAATGATTTATTTACTTTAACTCTGTGAAACTAGCCTCCACAGGTAAATGTTTTAAACATGTTGGAGGTGTGGAAGCAGATGACGTCATCAGGTGAAACAGCGCCACCTGCCGGTGTTTGACTCAACAACATGTCAGGTTTAGTCTCAAACAAGTCTCTCAGGTTAAATAAACCCGGGTTACTGTAAACATTAACCTGTGTAAACAGCTCGGGCTGTTAGCTGTGAAGCTAACACTCCTCAGTTAAATAAAAATAAAAAGTTTAAAGTTTCCCGCGGCTGTCAGCAGCTCGGACTGTTTCTACTCACTAAGAGTTGATGAAGAGACATTTAAAGAGAGAAACTCCCGCTGCTAACGGAACAAACCAGCTCCAGGTGCCCGCGGCGGCCGCCATCTTGAAAACAACCCGGTTTGAATGATCAAACTTTATTGACACAAAATATAAAAATAAAACTGAAAGCTTCAGTTTAACATTTTATTTGTATTTTAGTTAGTAGATGTATTAAGTACAAACTATAACAGACTAAAATGTATTAATAAATTAGTTTAACAGAGTAGTTTCACTGGGGGCGGGGCGCTGAGACGTCACATCCGGCTGTCCGTGACGTCAGCATCGTGAGGTCCTGCTCTGCGAACACGAACGGGACCCGATCCAGACCTGATCCAAACAGGACCCTGGACCGACAACCGGACCGTTTTACAGAACAAACATGACCACTTCCGGTCTGAAGGCGGTGCTGCGGCCGGTCCGCGCGCTCAGAGGTGGGCTCGGGGTTAAAGGTCAGACCGTACCTAACGCAGGTAGAGGTGTTCACTGCGCATGCGCAGCCAGATCCAGACCTGATAATTTCCGGTTTGTTTTGTTTCCGGTCCAACTTGTTTTTGTTTGTTTTTATATTTTAACAGCTGACAGTCGTTCTGCTGTGTTTTTATTTACTTTTGTCTTGAATTTGTTGGTTCAATCAAAATAACTTGTTTTAATGTTTATTTATAAAAACATTTCAGGTACCTGAAAGGTTCTGAGCAGCAGAATGTAACGGGTCGGGTCGGTTCTGTGTGGCAGGGTTCCATGTGGCGGCACCGCTGGCGACCTTTGACCTGAGGAAAGTGGAGCTGACCCCCCTGGAGCACAGGAAGCTGACCTTCGACTCCCACGGCCTGGTGACAGAGCTGCAGAGCAGCGGTGGGTTCTGGTCCGGTCCTGGTTCAGTGGTCCTGAAGAAGAGATCCGACTGGGTCCTGCAGGGTTCTCTTTGTTTGTTTGTTTGTTTGTTTGTTTGATGTTTGTTTGTTTGTTTGTTTGTTTGTCTGCAGGCTTTGAGAAGCACCAGGCAGAGCTGATGGTTTCTGCTCTGGTCACTCTGACCTCAGCCAACATGGACATGGTCTACAAGGACATGGTGACCAGGTCCCACCAGGTATGAGGTCCAACCATGACCCGGTACCAGAACCTGGTACTGGGTCATGATAGGTGGTATTATGGGATGGTACCGGGTCATAGTTGTGGTTTTTGTATCCAGGAGATCGCGATGCAGCAGATCATGACTCATCTGGACTCCATCAGGAAGGACATGGTGATCCTGGAGAAGAGCGAGTTCGCCAACCTGCGGTCTGAGAACACGGTGCGTCCACACTCTGTCCACACTCTGACCTATGAGACGTCCACACTCTGTCCACACTCTGACCTGTGAAACGTCCACACTCTGAACTGTGAGATGTCCACACTCTGAACTGTGAGACGTCCACACTCTGAACTGTGAGACGTCCACACTCTGACCTGTGAGACGTCCACACTCTGCTCTGACCTGTGAAACGTCCACACTCTGACCTGTGAAACGTCCACACTCTGACCTGTGAAACGTCCACACTCTGCTCTGACCTGTGAAA